AAATTTTTACCAAACAGGCTCTGAGCTTAAACCTTTCAAACTGTAACGTACAGATAAAAAATAACTTAAATACTTATAAATACTTTATAAATCTTAGCCAAATATATGAATGTTTATTTACATAAAATAAGGTGAGCGGGTGTCATTTCTATATGTTACAGGTTCGTTTGATATGGCTTTTGAAAAGTCGAAAGGAGCTTTTGAAACCCCAAGAGTTATTTTTGGATCCGTTTGACTAATTTTGTAAAAGTACTTCTGACAGTTAGAAAAGTTTTTGGAGGAAACTGGTTCAATTTGACTTTATCTAAAAGCACTTCTAGAATAAAAAATGTTTTTAAAAATTAGTTTTCAAATAAAATTAAGGTAACTTTCTATAAAAATTCTTCAACATGAAGCAAAAATCATGCCGAACGGGCATGTGTTTTTCATTTTTTGTAAGTGCCACTTGTAGAGAAAATAAAGATATTACCCTTTTCTTGATAAATTTTATTGTATTAAATGCAATAACAAAAGTTTTTTTCATGCTATTTGTTTGATCAATAAGATAAAATCTTGTTGACTTCCGATTTCTGCACGAATGACGTGACCAATAGATTTCGGCTCTACTTCACGTCCACAGTCTTTCTCTTGCACACTTGGACAACCCTTTAGGAACACGTTGCCTTCCTTGAATGTTGGGGAGGTAACAGTGTGCACTTCGACGATCAAATCGGTCGATATATTTGAATGTGGGACGGGCGGAAGACGGTGAACCGCAATAGTGTTTGGACACCAAGGTTATACAAGAGAACAAATATGAAAGCAATGTTACTAACGAGAGTGTAAAATTTCATTACTTTCAAATGAGAATAAGTGTGAACATTTATAGTAGAAGATGATAAATGGTTACCATTGGATGAAATATATGTGGCCTCATCCTGATGTGGTATCTTCCCCTAGGTATCATTTCATCAATTCATAGGATGAGGGGCATTTAATATTTTTTGAAAAGTAGTCACCTTATAACCTGGGGCTAACCTCTAAAATTTAGACTGACAGTTGACCCTTAAGCGTCTCTTACGGAGATATCACATCAATCAATTATTGAAAGATCTTGTATGAAAGATCTCTTGGATGAGATAAAGTAGGAGACGTCTTCTTTGATTGAGAGGCTAATTGCCTCGATTCACTATGTAGCATGTTATAGCACCTTGTCTAGATCGTGGAGGATTGGCCTCTACATAACATCTTGACTGAGGTGATGTATCACTTTGACTACCTTAATAGATGGCCTCAGCTACGTTGGTATGATAGTGATGTGGAGTGTGGGCCTAATTGAGCTTGTTAGCTAGCTGCCATGTGGTCTTTGTTTGAAATCTCATTAGAAGAGGCGTAACAAATCCAAATAGTTGATATATTGATAGAAGTTATTGTTGGAATTAATCGTTAAATGTGATATTTACTGATATGAGCCATTGCAATTAATTTGAGTGAATTGGAAAAGTATCCAATATAGGCCCATAAGTTGATAAACTCATTTTAAGTGTCTTATATAT